ATGAAAAAGTGCTCAACATCATTGACCATCAGAGAAACTGAAATCAAAACTACAATGAGATGTCATTTCATCCCAGTTAAAATGGCTTTTATCCAAAAGACAGGCAGTAACAAATGCTGGTGAGAATGTGGAGAAAAGGGAATTTTCATTTACTGTTAGTGAGAATGTAAATTAGTATAGCCACTATGGAGAACAGTTTAGAGGTTCCTCAAAAAACTAAAAATAGATCTACCATATGATCCAACAATCCCACTCCTAGAAATATACCCAAAAGAAAGGAAATCAGTATGTACCACGCCATTCTTGCATTGCTAAAAGTAACTGCAGTTTTTGCAATTAAAATGGCAAAAACTACAGTTACTTTTTCACCAAAGAATGCCTGAAACTGGGTAATTTATAAAGAGAAGAAGAGATTTGATTGGCTCGTGGTTCTGCAAGCTCTGCAAGCAGGAAATCAGCATCTGCTCAGTTTCTGCAGAGGCCTCAGGGATTTTCACTCATGACAGAAGGCAAAGTGGGAACAATCATGTCACATGGGGTGAGGATGGCACCAAGAAGATAATGCTAGGCCATTCATGAGAAATCCACTCCCATGATCCTATCACCTCCCACCAGGTCTCACCTCCAATGCTGGATATTACAATTCAACATGAGATGTGGGTAGGGATAACTATACAAACTATACCATAGTATATCAAAGAGATATCTGTACTCTCATGTTTGTTGCAGCAATATTCACAACAGTCAAGATTTGGAAGCAACCTGTTTGTCAAAACACAAATGGATAAAGAAAATGTATATATATATATAAATGTACACACATATATATATATATGTAATGGAGAACTATCCAACCATAAAAAAGAATGAGATTTTGTCATTTGCAACAACATGGATGGAACTGGAGGCCATTCTGTTAAGTGAAATAAGCCAGGCACAGAAAGACAAACTTCACATATTTTCACTTATTTGTGGGATCTAAAAATTAAAACAACTGAACTCATGGACATAGAGAATAGTAGGATGACTCCAGAGGCTGAGAAGGGTAGTGGCAGGGGTGGGGGTGGGGATGGTTAATGGTTAATGGGTGCAAAAAAAAAAAAAGAAAGAAAGAATGCATAAGATCTACTATTTGGTAGCAAAATAAGGTGACTATAGTCAGTAATGTAATTGTACATTTAAAAATAACTAACAGAATATAATTGGATTGTTTGAAACACAAAGGATAAATGCTTGATGTAACAGAAACCTTATGTACTCTTATGTGACTATTACACATTGTATGCCCGTATCAAATATCCCATATTCCCCATAAATACATGCACCTACTATGTACTCACAAAAATTAAAAATTAAAAAAACCCATGACGTTTCAACTTTAGAATTTTTTTTAAAAAAACCTTAATTTTAAATACTTGTATTCAGACTTCTGCCAGGATGGCTGAATAGGAACAGCTCCAGAGCACAGTTCCCAAGGAGAGAGATGCAGAAGGTGAGTGATTTCTGAATTTCCAACAGAGGTACCAGGTTCATTTCAATGGGACTGGTTGGACAGTGGGTGTAGCCTAAGGATGGCAAACTGAGGCAGAGTGGGGCACTGCCCCACCCAGGAAGTGCAACTGGCCTGAGGATCAGAGACTTTACCCCTTCGGCACTCCAGTTCAGACACTATGCTTCTCCCAGGGCCTTTGCAACCCACAATCCAGGAGAGAATACCACAATGATACTCCTCAAGAAGAGCAACCCCAAGGTTGAAATGAAGGAAAAAATGCTAAGGGCAGCCAGAGAGAAAGGTCAGGTCACCCACAAAGGGAAGCCCATCAGACTCACAGCAGATCTCTTGGCGGAAACACTACAAGCCAGAAGAGAGTGGGGGCCAACATTCAACATCCTTATAGAAAAGAACTTTCAACCCAGAATTTCATATCCAGCCAAACTAAGCTTCATAAGTGAGGGAGAAATAAAATCCTTTACAGACAAGCAATTGCTGAGAGATTCTGTCACCACCAGACCTGCCTTACAAGAGCTCCTTAAGGAAGCACTAAACACAGAAAGGAGTACCAGCCACTGCAAAAATGTACCAAATGGTAAAGACCAATGACACAATGAAGAAACTGTGTGAACTAACGAGCAAAACAATCAGTCAGTAACAAAATGGCAGGATCAAATTCACACATAACAATATTAACATTAAATGTAAACAGACTAAATGCCCCAATCAAAAGACACAGACTGGCAAACTGGATAAAAAGTCAAGACCCATTGGTGTGCTATATTCAGGAGACCCATCTTATGTGCAAAGACACACACAGACTTAAAATAAAGGGATGGAAGAAGATTTACCAAGCTAATGGAGAGCAAAAAAAAGCAGGGGTTGCAATCCTAGTCTCTGATAAAACAGACTTTAAACCAACAAAGATCAAAACAGACAAAGAAGGGCATTATATAATGGTAAAAGAATCAATGTAACAAGAAGAGCTAACTATCCTAAATATATATGCACCCAATACAGGAGCACCCAGATACATAAAGCAAGTTCTTAACGACCTACACAGAGACTTAGACTTGCACACAGTAATAGTAGGAGACTTTAACACTCCAATGTCAATATTAGATCAACAAGACAGAAAATCAACAAGGTATCCAGGACCTGAATGCAGATCTGGACCAAGCAGACCTAATACACATCTACAGAACTCTCCACCCCAAATCAACAGAATATACATTCTTCTCAGCACCACATCACACTTACTCTAAAATTGACCACATAATTGGAAGTAAATCACTCCTTAGCAAATGCAAAAGATTGGAAATCATGACAAACAGTCCTCAAACCACAGTGCAATCAAATTAGAATTCAGGATTAAGAAACTCACTCAAATCTGCACAACTACATGGAAACTGAACAAATGGCTCCTGAATGACAACTGGATAAACAATGAAATGAAAGCAGAAATAAAGATGTTGTTTAAAACCAATGAAAACAAAGACACAACATACGACAATCTCTGGGACACATTTAAAGCAGTGTCTAAAGGGAAATTTATAGCAACAAATGCCACATGAAAAGAAAAGAAAGATCTAAAATTGACACCCTATCATCAAAATTGAAGGAGCTAGAGGAGCAAGATCAAAAAAAGCAAGCAGAAGACAAGAAATAACTAAGATCAGAGCAGAACTGAAGGAAGTAGAGACACAAAAAAACCCTTCAAGAAATCAATAAATCCAGGAGCTGGTTTTTTGAAAAGATCAACAAAATAGACCACTAGCCAGACTAATAAAAAAGAAAAGAGACAAGAATTGAATAGATGCAATAAAAAACAATCAAGGGGATATCACCACCGATTCCACAGAAATATAAACTACCATCAGAGATTACTACAAACAACTCTATAAACCAGTAAATCTGGAAGAAGGATAAATTCCTGGACACTTGTACCCTCCAAAGACTAAACCAGGAAGAAGTTGAAACCCTGAAGAGACCAATAACAAGGCTGAAATTGAGGGAGCAATTAATAGCCTACCAACCAAAAAAAGTCCAAGTCCAGACGGGTTCACAGCCAAATCCTACCAGACAAAGTGGAGCTGGTACCATTCCTTCTGAAACTATTCCAAACAATACAAAACTAGGGAATCCTCCCTAACTCATTTTATGAGACCAACATCATCCTGATACCAAAACTTTGCAGGGACACAACTAAAAAAGAACACTTCAGGCCAATATCCATGATGAACATCAATGCAAAAATCACACTGGCAAACCGAATTCAACGGCACATCAAAAAGCTTATCCATCACAATCAAGTAGGCTTCATCCCAGGGACAGTATGGCGATTCCTCAAGGATCCAGAAATACAAATTCCATTTGATCCAGCAATCCCATTACTGGGTATATACCCAAAGGATTATAAATAGTTCTATTATAAAGATACATGCACACATATGCTCATTGAGGCACTGTCTACAATAGCAAAGACCTGGAACCAACCAAAATGCCCATCAACAATAGACTGGACAAAGAAAATGTGGTATATATATATATACCACGGAATACTATGCAGCCATAAAAAATGATGAATTCCTGTCCTTTGTAGGGACATGGATGAATCTGGAAACCGTCATTCTCACAAACTGACCCAAGAACAGAAAACCAAACACTGCATGTTCTCACTCACAGGTGGGTACTGAACAATGAGAACACATGGGCACAGGGAGGGGAATGTCACACACTAGGGTCTGTTAAGGGGTGGGAAGTTGGGGAGGGATAACACTAGGAGAAATGCCTGATGTAGGTGATGGGGAATGGAGACAGCGAACCACCATAGCATGTGTGTACCTATGCAACAATCCTGTAAGATCTGCACAAGTACCCCAGATCTTAAAGTACAATTAAAAAAAAAAAACTTTCACATGATCTTTTACACATTTGGATAGCTAGTGCTGAAGAATACAAGTATATAATTCACCTTACTTCATTTTTGTTATTGTTTTTTGTTTTGAGACGGAGTTTCACTCTTGTTGCCCAGGCTGGAGTGCAATGGTGCGATCTCAGCTCATCACAACCTCTGCCTCCTGGGTTCAAGCAATTCTCCTGCCTCAGCCTCCCAAGTAGCTGGGATTACAGGTATGCACCACCATGCCCAGCTAATTTTTTCGTATTTTTAGTAGAGACGGGGTTTCTCCATGTTGGTCAGGCTGGTCTCAAACTCCCAACCTCAGGTGATCCGCCCACCTTGGTCTCCCTAAGTGCAGGGATTACAGCTTGAGTCACCACACCTGGCCTAACCTTAATTTATTTTTGTAACCTGTCTCGGGATCTTTCCTTCTGCTGCAATTATTATTTTTGGCAGAAGTCAGTAGAGTTTTCTGTAATAGCACTTTTCTATGTTTTTGGATTAGCTTATTTAATCTAACACATAATAAAGAACTCTCAAATCCACAATCTTCCTAAACCGGCTGGTTAACAAAGACCGATGTAAAGAACAACTAGCTTTTGTTACCTCAATATCACAGATTGGATTGTAGTCATTATAGCCAGAATAAAGATCATCTTCATCTGTCTCTGGAGCCAGGTGCACATTTTGCATCATTTGTACCTAGGAAAAATTGGCAATGTAAATAAATTCTTGGTATAAAAAATAATTTTTTTTTTTGTTATATGTCTTGCTCTGTTGCCCAGGCTGGAATGCAGTGACACAATCACAGCTTACCGTAGCCTTGACCTTTCTGGCACAAGTGATCCTTCCACCTCAGCTTCCTGAGTAGCTGGTACTACAGGCTTATGCCACCACATCTAACTAAGCTTTAATTTTTTTGAAAAGATAGGGTCTCTCTATGTTGCCCAGGCTGGACTTAAACTCTTGAGCTCAAGTGATCCTCTTGCTTTGGCCTCCCAAAGTGCTGGGATTACTAGTGTAAGCCACCAGTGGTGGTGTGCGCCTGTAGTCCCAGCTAATTATTTCTGGCCAGGCCAGAAATAACTCTTAATTCCAATAAAGTATAACTATTTAATGACATTTCTGGTCAAATTTATCTATATATATTTTCATAGCCTCAATTTTTTTCACATCAAATTCCCAAAACTAAGTATCAAAATATTATTACCCTCATTTCACATTTAATTCACAACTATGACACTAAAAGAACATACTAGAGGGGGTACAACTGATTGTCCTGAATTTCAGAGCTTAGTATCAAGAGCAGAAGAAAGGTATGCAAGAGTCAATTAAAATGCAAGGCAGAAACCACCACACCCCCAACAGAATGTCTAAAATTAAAAAGGCCAAAAACACATAATGTCAGCATAAGATGTGGAGCAGCCATAGTACTCATACATTGCTGATGGGAGTGTAAAACAGTACTGTTTGGGAGAAAAGTCTTTCAATTTCATAAAATTAACAAGTACCTTTTATGACCCACTGAGAAATATTTACTCAAGAGAAATGAAAACCTATGTCTACAAAGAGATTTGTATACAAATGTTCATGGCAGCTGTCAACCTAAAGAAAGGAACTGAGGCATAAAATATAATGCTAAAGAGTTTACTTGAGCCAAAATAAGGACAGCTGCCCATAAGACTCAGACTTCATGTAACATTGTACAGGTGCTCCATTCAGCCTTTGTTACAAGCAGCAGATTTTTAAAGGCAAAAAAAGTGGGGGTGGGAGTGGGATGATACAAAGCTATTTGTCAGAAATTCTCACTGGTTGGCCAGGTATGGTGACTCATGCCTGTAATCCCAGCACTTTGGGAGGCCAAGGCAGGTGGATCATGAGGTCAGGAGTTTGAAACCAGCCTGGCCAATATGGTGAAACCCCTCTCTACTAAAAATACAAAAATCAGCCAGACGTGTTAGCATGTGCCTGTAGTCCAGCTACTCAGGAGGCTGAGGTAGAAGAATTGCTTGGACCCAGGAGGTGGAGGGTGCAGTGAGGAGAGATTGTGCCACTGCACTCCAGCTTGGGTGACAGAGTGAGAATCTGTCTCGAAAAAAAAGAAATTCACACTGGTTTACAAAAATAATATTGATTAGTGATTGGCTACAGTGTAGGGATTATGGTATCCAGAATGTGATTAATTTATAGCTACTGGTGGCAATAACAAGCAAGTTTTAAGACATGATTACTTGGCCCAAGAAAGTAAGAGAGATGTGACTGCTGTTTCACTCCCATGCCTCTCTGGACCTGGTAATTTAGAGGAGATTCCCATTCTTCAAATTAAACATTTCTTTTCTTTGTCACTGCTTTATTAGTAATACTCCAAAATCAGTAACAGACCAGATACCCATCAGTAAAACGGACAAGCAAAATGTGGCACACTTACACAATGAAGTACTATTCAGCCATAAAAAAGAATCCCAATTATGCTGAGTGAAAGAAGCCTTACATAAAGCGGTACATTATGCACTGTTTCATTTATATGAAGTTCTCAAACAGGCAAAAGTAATCTGTGGTAGAAAACCATCAGAACTGTGGTTGCTTCTTGGGGGTAGGGAGGAGAAACTGAATGGAAAAGGACATGAGAGAACTGTCTGGGGTGATGATAAATGTTCTATATATTGGCAAGGGTTTGAGTCACACAGGTGTATGCATTTGCGAAAACTCAGCAAATTGAATACTTGAGATTTCTGCTTTATAAATTTTGTCTCAAAAGTAAGAACTATAAGGAAATATTGAACTGTATAATTGATATGCATGCTGGTATTTAAGGGAATGTGTAATACCTGTAATTTAGCTTAAAATACATAAAATAAGATGGCTTAGGCCAGGCACAGTGGCTCACACCTGTAATTCCAGCACTTTGGAAGGCTGAGATGGGTGTAGTTTGAGACCAGCTTGCCCAACATGATAAGACCCCATCTCTACTAAAAATACAAAAACTAGTAGGACATAGTGCTGCATGCCTGTAATTCTAGCTACTCAGGAGACTGAGGCACAAGAATTGCTTGAACACAAGAGGCAGAGGTTGCATGAACTGAGATAGTGCCACTGCACTCCAACCTGAGGATGAGTGAGACTCTGTCTCTTAAAAAAATAAATAAATAAATAAAAAAGATGGATTGATAGCTGGATTGAGGGGTAGGTAAATGGATAAGTATATGATAAAGCAAATATAGAAAAAAGGTTAGTGGTGGAATCTAGGTAGCAGGAGTAACATTCACCATGAAATTCTTAAACCTTGCTGCACGTTTGAAAATTTTCATAATGAAATATAGAGAAAAAAATGCAAGACAGAAAAAAAAAAGATATCAAAGTAAAGTGAAACCAAGTGTGAAAGTTGATCATACAAATTGAGTCATTCTTGTCATACCCAACTAAAATAGTCAAGAAGCTGGGGTGGGGTGGTGGGGAAGCACTCAGGACATGTAACGTGGCTCAAAGAATGGAATTCTCTGCAAGTCTGGCTGCTGAAACAGCCTGGTTTAACCTGAGGCCAATTTTATTTATAGCTGCTGAGATAACTTGCTGCAAATATAGGACTAATTCTACCTACCACAGTCACTTACCAATTAGAACTTGTCAGCTTCCCATAACCTCACTGGTTCCAGTGGTCTTTCTCAAATAGCATTATAAAACATTTCTCCTTCTGATAAAACCTCCAAACTTCTCTTTGTTCTTCAGACATACCAAAGACAACCTGGTCCCCAAACTGTAATTCTTCCTTCCCAAATAAAAATGTAAAATTTCAAGACTCATATCTCCTTTTTAATTTTGACTTCGACAGGGCATGGGGGAAATGAAATTACCAAATACATATATCGTAAATCTAATAGTTACTAGAGAATCTGGCAAGGATTCTTGGAAGTATCATTCAAATCAAGTCAATATTTTAGACAATTTGGGGAGTGGGAGGTGGAGGAGGGCTAATTACCCAAGGAATGTAATACTGCTAGTATCCAAGAAATGTATTTTCTTTAAAGCAAATACATATTTTCTTTAAGGCCTGTACATTTTTAGTATACCAGCAAATTCCTAAGAATTTTTCAGCTTAATCTTTTTGCTCAGCATAATACCACATGTATGTGGCTTCTCATAACCTTTAAAAATTATTTATATATTTTTAAAACTAACAAAATTATTAGTTTTTGAGCTATAGTTTGCATACCATACAATTTAACTTTCAAGGTGCACATTCAGTGGTTTCTAGTATACTCACAAGGTTGTGCAACCACCCCAATATGTAATTCCAGAACATTTTTATCACCCCATAAAGAAACCTGGGGCCCATTAGCAGTCAGTCTCCATGCCTCCCTTCCCTTTCCCCAGTCCCTGGCAACCATTAATCTATTATCTGTCTCTATGGATTTGGCAATTCTGGACATTTCATGTTAGGGAAATTATACAATATGTGGCCTTTGTGTCTGGTCTCTTTCACTTAGCATGTTTTCAAGGTTCATCCATGTAGTAATATGTATCAATATTTCATTACTTTTTATGCCTAAATAATACATCTACAACATTCTGCTTATTCATTCATTAGTTTATGGATGTTTTGATTGTTTCCACTTTTTGACTTTTATGAACATCACTATGATTATGTGTGTACAAGTTTTAGCACAAATATATATGTTCAATTGTATTGGAAACGTATCTAGGAATGGTATTGCTGGGTCATATAGCAACTCTATGTTTAATTTTTGGAGGAATAGCCAGACTGTTTTCCAAAGTGGCTGAACTATTTCACATCCCACCTGCAATGCATGAAGTTTCCAATTCATCCATGTCCTGGCCAATACTTGGTACTGTTCCTGTTTTGATTATAGCAATTCTAGTGGGTATGAAACGGTATCTCATTGTAGCATTGATTTGCATTCCCCTGATGACTAAAAATGTTGAGCATCTTTTAATCTGCTTATTATCCATTTCTGTCTCTTTGGAGAAATGTCTGTTCAGATCTTTTGCCCATTCTTAAAAATTTGGTTATCATACAAATCACAAGGATCCTGTATATATTCTGGATATTAAATATTATATAAATGATTTACAAATATTTTCTCTCATTCTATGCCTCATCATTTTACATTCTTTGTGCTATCCTTTGAAGCGCAAGTTTTAAGTTTTGATGATATATAATTTATTTTTTCTTTGATTGCATGTACTTTTGCTATCATATCTAAGAAAGAATTGCCTTTTTTTTTTTGAGACGGAGTCTCACTCAGATGGCTAGAGTGCAATGGCCTGGTCTCGGCTCACTGCAACTTCTGCTTCCTGGGTTTAAGAGATTCTCCGGCCTCAGCCTCCCGAGTAGCTGGGATTACAGGTGAACACCACTACACCCAGCCTAAACCAAGGTCAAGAATATTTATACCTATGTTTTTTTCTAATAATTTTACAGTTTTAGCTCTTATAATTAGGTCATCGATCCATTTTGAGTTAATTTCTCATTACTTTTTTAAGATGAAAATTAACTACTATGAGGGCAAATGTCACCCAGATAGAAATGGTCATTCCAAAATAGCTTCAAGAGGTATTAAAAGTCACTGGTAAAAAATATGTTAAATAGTTTTTAATTAAAAGCTTTACTTCAGAATACTAAACCAGTGGTTCTCAAACCCAAGTGATGCTGAGGCTGCTGGTCTGGGGACCACACTTTGAGAACCACTATTCTGAATAACTTTTGGATTAACCCTAAAGTTAATCCAAACTTTTTTTTTTTGATTAACCCTATTTAAGTCAGTTTAGTTGATACGTAAGTTATAGAAAGCAGCAACTTTTAGAATGAGAAATCCTTTCTGCTAGGTTGTAACCAGATTTTTAAAAGGTTTGACTTGAAAGAGACCTTAGTTGAATAGACATCTTGTGGAACATACAAATATTAAAAGATGTGGAAAGTGAGGCCGGGAAAAGTACAGGAAATCAAGCATGGCTAAGAGCGATGGTGGCAGAACAACTGTTGCTATAAAACCCAGGGTTTCTGTCTTCTCCAGGCTATTTCCAAAGCAGCTTATACATGTAACAAACCTCCCATGTTGAAATAATCTGGGGATGATGCCATCTATATTTAATATAAACTAAATGCTAGTAAAACCCTTTTTTAAAGTGAAAGTTATGTTCATTAATACTCTTCTACTGACTTCTTCAAGCTAGTCCAACTGCGGCCAGCACATGGCACAGGATGGCTTTGAATACGGCCCAAATTCGTAAACTTTCTGAAAGCAGTATGAGGTTTTTTGCGATTTTTTTAAAGCTCACCAGCTATCTTAGTGTTGTGTATTTTATGTGTGACCCAAGTCAATTCTTCTTCCAATGTAGCCCAGAGAAGCCAAATCACTGGACACCCTGGGTCTACTTCTTAGATGCCTACTGCAGCTTCTCAAGGAAACAATAAGGTCACAACCGGAAAATTGGACTAATAGAAATGCCGTTTTAGGCACAGAATCTTGGGACAACAGTACTTCATGTTTTGGGGATGTTTCCATCTTTGTGAGGCTAGGCACACGCTTTTTGCATTCTGTTGTGTACTTTTATCTTTACTTCTGATTCAACTTTTATCAGGCAATTTCTCTTTTTTTTAATCTGAGACGGAGTCTCACTCTGTCATCTAGGCTGGAGCGCAATGGCGTAGTCTCAACTCACTGCAACCTCCGCCTCCGGGTTCAAGGGATTTTCCTGCCTCAGTCTCTCGAGCAGCTGGGATTACAGGCTCGTGCCACCACACCCAGCTAATTTTTGTATTTTTAGTAGGACTGAGGTTTCATTATGTTGGCCAGGCTGGTCTCGACCTCCTGACCTCGTGATCTGTCCGCCTCGGCCTCCCAAAGTGCTGGGATTACAGGCATAAGCCACCGCGCCCGCCTAATCAGGCAATTGCAAGTGCTTTATCTAACACGAATATCAAAAAGCGATGTGCACCCGTCTCTGCTGTGTGATTCCAGAGCTAGTGCAATGTTCTAACTGGGTTTGAAGTTTCCCCGTCAGGTGTGACTGGGACTTGGGGCAGCCATCGCCAAGCGGTCAGCGACGCCCGTCCCAGTTCAGAGGAACAAGGAAAGCCTGGGCTGGAGACACCGACCGCCGCGTTTCTGGGCAGACGCCTCCGGCGCCTGAGGGATGCACTCAGCCCCAAGTGGGAGAAAAACAGGGGCAAGCCCAGTCCATTCCAGGCCCCGCCTCAGATCGCCGAGGAGCCGGCCGGGGTGGGCGGGAGATGGGCGAAGGGGCCCTCGGCCGGGCTTGGCGCCCAGGACGCCGCAGGGGCACAGCTGCCAGGGGCCCTGAGGTGCTAGGCCCCCGCGCCCTTCTCCTACCTCACGTTGAGGGAAGTGGGTAACAGTTAGTCGGGCCCAGCGTCTACGTGGTGGTTGGCCAAAGCGCGATGCCGAGCCGTTGCCAAGAGCGAAATCCAAGGAAGCCGCTCCCACAGTCCTCCGCGCGGTGGTGGGCGGGGCCGGAAGCGCGGGGGCGGGGAGGAGCGCGGCGGGAAGCTAGAGGCTCGGGGCGCGCGGGGAAGTTGGGTGGGGGTGGAGAACTGCGGGGCCGAGAGCAGGGAGCCTAGTCCTCCCTGGTACTGGAGTGGCGGCGGCCGGCGGAGGTTGTTGGGGGGACGGTGCTAGCGGCTTACGGGAAGCGGGCCGGTCGGGGGAGAAAGATGGAGGAGAGGGCAGGGGGCCGGGCCCTCTAGTGGAAGGGAACGCCGGGGGTTGGGAAGCTGGAGGTGGCCTGTGTGAAGAAGGCGGGCAGGGAGTGGCGCGCGGCCAGTGTGAACAGGAGGAAGGAGGGCCCAGAGTGGCTCCGCGGGGGCGGCCTCTGTGGGGAAGGGGAAGGAGAGGAAACCAAGATCACCTGAGGTCAGAAGTTCGAGACCAGCCTGGCCAACATGGTGATACCCCATCTCTACTAAAAATACAAAAACTAGTCGGGCGTGGTGGCACGAGTCTGTAATCCTAGCTCTTCGAGATACTGAGGCAGGAAAATCGCTTGAACCCGGGAGGCAGGGATTGCAGTGAGCTGAGATCATGCCATTGCACTCCATCCAGCCTGGGCAACGAGCAAAACGCCGTCTCATGTATATATTTAGTGTTGGGAGACAATTCTCCATGGGTCCCCTGCACTTTCCCATGTTTTGTGAGGAGAGGCACTGGCTGCCTTTGTTCTAGACTATTATGACTAGTTTCATGTGTCAGCTGGGTTACTCTGTGGAACCCGGGTTTTGGTCAGACACCACTCTAGAAGGTATTTTTTTAAGATGTAATTAATAGTTAAGTGGCCCTCATCCAGTCAAGGGAAAGTCGTAAGAGAAAAAACTAAGGTCCTCTGAGGAAGAAGGAATCCTGCCCCCAGACTGCCTTCAGCCCTTTCCTGGGTCTCTAACCTGACTTGCAAATTTTAGGCTTGCCAGCCTCCCCGATTGCATGAGCCAATTCCTTCAAATGAATCTCTGCAGTGTGCATCGTATTGGATCTGTTTCTATAGGGAACTCTGATTAATACACCTTTTCAGGGAACAGTTTTGGAAGGTTAAGTTAATTGTCTTCTTCCGGAACAAATTGTTGCTGTTCAGTATAATAAAGATAATGTCACCCTCGAGGGCAAAGGCTGAGCATGTTGAGAGGAAGTTTAGGGATTTCCTCAACTTGGTGTACCTGGGTGGTAAAACCAATCACGTGTACGGCATCCACCGGGACTGTCCTCATGGGTCTTGGGGGGAAAGGGAAACCAAAGGGAATATGAAACAGGCTGGTGGCTGTGCTGTGAAAAATAAGTCCTTTCTCTCTGACTCAGGTGTTTTCTGCCAGCATTTATGGAACTGTCAGACTAGCTTGTTAGCTTGCAAGTAGTGTAAAATCTAACACAATTCTGAATAGTATCTAGCAATATACTGTACCCAGCTCATAGCAGTTGTTCAAGAAATATTTGTTGAATTAATTAGTGAATACTGGGGGGCCTTATTTCAAGTTACTGCCCCTCAATAGAGACAATTTTCATTATCTCTCGATCTCCAAACTATAAATTTCCAGTCCCCTCAAAAAATTATTTTTAATTAGAAACAAATTCAAGTTCTTTCAACTTGGTTGCTCTTTAAGCATGATACAGTTACTTGCCCAGGGAGTGCTCAGTCACCTTCATTTTAAACACTGTAGTGTAGCTATCATATTTACTGAACACAAATATTATTGCCAGACAGAATGTTAGAGTCACCTAGCTTATATTACTACAATTCAAGCTCCACAGGAATGGGCATTTTTGTTTTTTTTTTTTGTTCTAGACTCTATTTCCAGGACTTAGAATAAGTGTTGAACCAAGTTGGCTTTCAATTATTGGTTTATTAAATGAATTGTCAGGGCTTGTAATTAAGTATATAGAGAGTTGGGGTGAATAGGTAGCAAGCAGCAAGCATGAATCCCAGCTTTGGCAAGAGTAATAGGATGAAAGCTAACACCATTTATTAGTATGGAGAATACTGGAGGAGAAACAGGTTTAAGAGAGAACATAAGCTTAGTTTTGAACATGTTGAGTTTCAGATGCCTGTAAAATATGCAAATAGAGATGTTGACTAGGCACTTGCTGAGTATATACAGTTTTATTATAAAGCTCAGAGAAAAGATCCTCAGGCCTGGTGTGGTCGCTCACATCTGTACCTGCACTTTGGGAAGCCAATGTGGAAGGATTGCTTGAGGCCAGAAGTCCAAGATGAGCCTGGGCAGCATAGCAAGACCCTGTCTCTACATATAAATAAAAATGAGCCAGGTGTGGTGGTACACACCTGTAGTCTTAGCTACTCAGAAGGCTGAGGCACGAGGATCCCTTGAGCCCAGGAGTTTGGAGGCTGCATTCAGCTATGATCATGCCACTGCACTCCAGCCTGGGCAACAGAGTGAGACTGTCTCTTAAAAAAAAGAAAAAGAATGATCCTATCTAGAGATATACACTTGTTATTCAGTAGCTCCTAAAACAGATGGATTTGAAGCCTAGGTGTGAGTGAGATTGCTTACAGGGAAGGAGGACATAGAGGGGAAGGAAAAGAGAGTCAAAAATTGAGCCATGGAAAAGTAATATTTAAAGATTGTGTAGAAGATGAGCCCCTAATGATTCTGTTTAATGATCAGACATACTTGACCAAAACCAGGAAAGTGAAGGTAATGGAAGCTATCTGGCATTCTGAATTAAAAAAAAAGTCAAAAAGGAGGGAGTGATGACCATATTGTATGGTTGGGAAAGGTCAAGTCAGTTGAACCAAAGACATTTCACGGTCTTTAGCCATATGAAGGTCCCTGTTCATTTAGCAAGAGCTCTTTTAATGAAACGGTGGTGTGTAAGCCTGACTGCACAGAGTGGCCTGGGTAATTGGTGATTAAGTAGTAAATGGACACTGAAACTCAAGAAGCCTGGCTGTGAATGAGAAGAAAGAAAGCACTAGTAGATAGCAAGCGAGCCCAAGGAGAGTTGTTCTTGGTTTCTTTTAAAAGATAGACCATATTAGAGCATGTTTTAATACTAAAGGAAATAATCCAGTAGAAAGCATTTGAAGGTGCAGGGGAGATGGCTAAAAGGGAGGAGAGTGGAAGAGGTTCCAAGGTGGAAAAAGAGTAGAGAAGATCTAGAATAAGCAGAGACGAGGAGAGACGTTAACTAGAGAAATGCAGTAACATCGCTTGGTAAGTTTAGGTGCTCAGTTGATACCAACAACTGTGAATTTATAGTGGTGAGCATCTGCCTTGCTGGTACTCTCACAGCCACATTTTCCACTGATCTTCATCAGGTACAGACTTGGAAAAGACAGATGGAGAAATGTACCCAAGGCTGAAATCTGTTGGGGGCAGTTGCAAAGAAAGGACTCTGTTACCATCATCAACATGAAATTTAATATAAATAATAATTTACATTAATTTTTAAATTTATATTAATTTATGTATTAAATTTTATTATTTGTATTAATTTAATATAAATATAGTAAATGAATGGGGCCAATGAATAGGAAGAAAGTGGAGGAGTTAGACGTCTTGATGAAGTTAGAGCAGTTGCAATAGAGTTACTTCAGCTTTTTGAATTAGTGATGATGGAAGTGGAACAGTTTTGAGCTGGTAATAAGGTTCAGGGTTTGATGATGGGTATGGAGGAAGCCATTGAGAAGAAAGCCATTTCAGATAAGTAGTCCAAGGTTTGAAGCCACTGGAATAAGTGGAGAGGTCTCTGTGAGCCAGGCAGCAAAGACTGAGGCAAAGCAAAGAGGAAGTTGGAAGAGTTTGGAAAAGAGTATACCAGATGGCACAAGATTCACAGCTGCAGAAGATTTGCAAGAGGGTGCAAAAACCAAGGAGAAACCACCATCCCTGCCTTCTGACTCAGACATCCCTGAGCTGTGAGAAAATAAATAACCTTAAACTGATAGGGCTCCCAGGAAGCAGTATCCTTAAAGAACAATCCATTTTCTGTGAAAGCAGAGGTGGGGAGAATATTGGAAAAATAAGTGGAATATATGGGGCGTCTGCTAATCACAAAACAGAAATTCCAGTGGGCCTTCGGAGGGGTTGGACCAAGATATGCTGCTGGCCAGAATGACGTGCAGTCCAGGTGGTGGCCAAGGACAACAAGGAGCAAGCGGAGGTGGAGTTAGATCTGACATATACGGCTAGCAGAATTTGGCTATGGCCTGCAGGTGAGGCTCAGTGGCTCTGGCAAGAGGCTTGTGACATTTCCTTTTTCACCCAGGTCAGCTGGTGATGCAGTTGCAGCCAGGAATGCAGAGCACCAGCCTGGGAACATCTGTTTAGCAGAAGGTGGTGAAGGAGGGGCCCCTGCAGGCTGATTTCCTACATGAGGCTGATGCTCTCATGGGTTTAGGGTCAGTGTTTTTGGGTCTTGGCTGTCTGATGTTCATCAATAATTCGACCTGAACTGCTGCATTTCTCTCCAATAACTGTACCTTTCTCCTTCACCTTACAACCTAGAGGGTCTAGTAGCCTCTTCTCTCACTTGCCCTGTTACCATAGCTTCCTGCCTTTTTTCACTGCTTTCTCTCTACTCTTCTGTCTTCCAGCTTGCTCTCACTCAATGATTCTCCACCCAGTCTTCCCTCCCCACTCTGCCTTGACTTTTGGACAAAGTCTATACTCCATTGTGTGGCTTAGAAGGCCCTTCACAGTATGACTGACCTCTATGGTACTATTCAGGATGCTTTGCTGCAGCCAAGAAAAGCCAATTCTTGTTGACTAAGCAGAAAAGGAGTCTTTTTTTTTTTTTTTTTTTTTGAGATGGAGTCTCACTCTTATCGCCAGGCTGGAGTGCAACGGCATGTGATCTCGGCTCACTGCAACCTCCACCTTCTGGGTTAAAGCAATGGTCTTGTCTCAGCCTCCCGACTAGCTGGAACTACAGGCATGCACCATATGCCCAGCTAATTTTTGTATTTTTAGTAGAGACATGGTTTCACCATGTTGGCCAGGTTGGTCTTGATCTCTTGACCTC